GATTAGCTTGTGTGTATCAAAAGAAGGAACAGCTCGTTCTGCTTCCTGCTGAGTCGGTGACTTCTTTGCTTTCTCAACTCTTCCAGAAAGGACTGTAAGCAAGATGAATTTACTTTTCTTAAAAAAAAAAAAAAAAAAAAAGAGTTTCTGGCTGATGGGTGACTCAGAGCGCAGCACTGCCTGGCTGGGGGAAGAGGGGTTTGCCCTTCTCGGAGGGTACCTCCTGTTCCCTGTCTGAGCACCCTGCATGGAAGTCAAAGGAAAGCCCTTTCTTGGTGACAACAACGTAAATCTGGGTTCCCTCAGACATTGGGTTGCACCCCAACAAATATTAAATGGCTTCTTAAAGCCCAGAGAAAGAGGAAGCCCAGAGAAAGAGGTTTTTTAAAAAGACTGTTGCTAAAAAGCTGAGCCAAAAAGGCTGATCAGAATTCACTTTTTGGAATGTGGCAGTTAAACACTACCTTGACCATTCTCTTTCCTTGAGGAACTCCTGGAGGGTTTGAGCGTCTGGAAACTCTGCTCTGACCTGAGAAAGCGCCCTCCTGATGCCGCCTCCTTCCCGTTATGGAAAGGACGCCTCAGAAATGTTTTGTTTTCTTTTATGATGTATTCAGAAGCCTTTGCTGATTGAAGTTTCCTTTTATTTGGATGGCTGGGAGAGACCCAGGGAGGGTCTTGGAGGTTCCTTTCTGTCTCCTGGCCCCACCAGGGATTTCCCCATTTCTGTTTGCTGCCTGAAAGCAGGATGAGGAAGGCCAAGGAGAGTCCTTGCCCCCGTGAGCATCAGGATGAGGAAATGACAGAAGGAAGACGTGGGTTTGGGTTAGTGGCTGCTGGCGTTTTGGCCCTTGGTGTTTCTGGAGCCTCTGCAGATCTAGGAGAGCCTGGGCTGCGTGCAGGTCGATAAGCAGAGCTGTTCTTGTGGAGGAGGAGGGAGGTCTAGGGAGTTTAGCGCCATGCCAACCAGCCGTGCGCGAAGACAGAGCCACGGCCGGACGGCAGCGCATGTTTCTGTTTCGGCGTCTCGCTTGCCTCCCAGCGTGACCTACGTGGGGATTCCTCAGGGCCTGCTGGAATGTGACCGCCCGCTGCCCAGCTGCCTTGGGTACAAGTCCTGGCTCTATGTCCCAGCCATCAGGGGCTCAGGGAATCCTACCCAGCCACCTGTCCTGGGATGGAGTGTCAGCACCCACCCCTTGGTCATCATCGAGGCCATCCTCCCAGTCCTGGGTGAAGGTACCTGGGCAACCAGGGCTCCCTTGGCCCCTTCACGCAGGAAATAGACGTGCTTTTTAATGCAGGACACTTTGAGCGTTATAAAATCTGTAGATCTGGCAGTAGGGGCATGATTTTGGGAAGGGTATAGTGCCCTAGGTTGGTGACAGAAGGGACAGACACTTATGCACAGGTATCTTTGGTGATGGGGTATATTTTAATAACTGCGTAAAAAAACTATATGGAATTCTGTCTCTTGGTAAAGCTCAAAGCCAGGCTAGCCTGAGGTGGCGCAGGGCTCTCCTTCCCGTCCCTTCGACCTCCTTGAGAATTAAAAGCTGGCAGCTGCCGATGGTGTTTCCTGACCCCCTCGCTTCCCATGACGATCCCCAGCTTCAGATCCTCATGGGGAGGGGAGGGCGTGTTCTTACGCGTGGGCTCAGGAGGGCCTTCCCTTCCCCTCTCTGTCAGAGTTTTCACTGCCGTCTCGTCTTGAGAAAGCTGTTTGAATTCCCCCCACCCCCAGTTTGGACCATGTAGATATAACTGGATATACGGATTTTTCTCTTCGTGTGGCAGGCTTCTTATGCCATTGGTATACAGGGCAGGAAAGCAAGGAGGAATAAAGGGAGGAGCAGTTTGGAAACCACGGTGGTTTTGCTTTGTTCTTGTTATTTGGTTTTGGTGCCGCCTTCCCTGCCTGTGCTCGTGCCCCCTCTCCTCCTCGGCGCTGGCGGCCTCCTTGCCTCCCTTTCACCCACGCTGCCATCCTGTGGCTGTCGTGTTGGTTCTTCACACGTGCTCTGTTCTCGCGGTTGCTCCATTCATGTCTTCTTGGAGGGTGAGGGTGGCTTGGGAACTGACCCAGTGATCACACCTACTTTCTGCATCTTTGTATCTCCCTCCTTCCCAGCCCACCCGGGCAGCAGACTGATGGAAGGAAGGTGCCGCAGGTGGCCTTTTAGAAACTAACGGGCTGATTTCCAAAGCAGTTATCTTGGGAAACTGTTTATTCCAGCGATGTGACTTTTTTCAGAATATTTCTTGGAATCACCTTCAGAGTCTGGGGCTGTGTGTTAAGCAACCTTAAGGATGCTCGACACTCATTTAGTGCCCAGGGAGTCCAGCGAATGGCATCTGTGGCCAAGTGAGGTCTCAGGTGCAAAGCAAAAGGACTATTTAAAGTAAAATAGCTTGGATTCAATCGTGTGACTTTTAAATGGGCTCAGAAAGCAATTGTGTGATTTCAGAGAGTATTTTGAGCCACGGCCACATTGTTGTTGTGAGTCTATAGCTTGACTCCTTGGAGAACAATATTCATTTGGATGTGGAAACTCTGATTTGCTGGGAGAAATCTGTCCTGTTACTTTCTGGTCATCCCAGGTTCTGACTTTTACCAGGGGCAAAAAAAAAGAAAAAGGGAGATAAATCCCATCTGTGAATTTGTCTTATTGGCGCCTTTTCCCTCAGCTGTCTTCCAAGTATTATTTTTACTGTTAAAAAATTTTTTAAAAAATGTGAAATGTAATGTTTTTACAGCAACAATATGAAATATATTTTATAAGGAATAAAATGGTACCTTGTCTGATTTAATGTGTGCCTGTCCATTGCCCCTTCCCCTGCAACAAATAAAATTATCACTGTCCTTGTCCTTGGTGTTACACAAATGGTAGCATATCACACTGTAGCAAAGCATGACGTTGATTCGCTTATACTAACAGTCGGTAGCACTTCCCAGTGACTAGGCCAAGTGTGTACATGGGTTCCCTATTATAAATAACCCTGTGAGAGAGTGCTGTTACTGTTCCCATTTTGCAGTTGAGAAGAGTGAGGCAGAGGTTCAGTAACTTGCCCAAGGTTATAAACTGGGAAATAATAACACTCCAGGCAGTATTTTCTGCTGCTTTTCTTGACTGCATTCCTGAGTCTTTTGAGGAGCAAGCAAGTGACATGGGAGAAAATACGTCACACGCTACCTCTCAAATGGCTTCTGAACATGGTCTGCTCTGTACACACATCAGTTCCAGGTGCTGCGATGGCCCAAGTGGCTGGCAGAGCTGGCCTAGGTGGGAAGGCTGTTGGAAGCAGAAGGTATCATTCCACCCAGGGGCTGGTTTGTGCAATTTCAGGTTTGCCGAACTTTAAGAACCACTTGGTGAAGCAATGATAGACTCCAAGACCAAGTCAAATAAACCAGGCTTGCTTGAAGAAGTTGTGGAAATGTGTTTAAACGTTCAAGGTATATTTAAAATAAGAGTTCAAGGTGGTGGTGGGGCAGATGGGAGACCCAGCAGGATCCTTTCTGCACTGAGTCATCCTTCTGGTGGGGAGAAGCAGGAGCTATAGGAAGAGGCTCTGGGGAATAGGGAAGGCAAAGAGGCAGTGAGGAGCTTTGGGGATTGTGAAGTATCTCTTGGGGCGGGTTGCAGGGACCCTTCCTTCACATTGCTGGCCAGTGGGGGTATCCCACTCCGGCACTGCATTATGGCCTGAGTCAGCCACGCCCAGCAGCCCACAAAGCAGTTTCTTTTTACCCCCTTTTTGCCTTTTTTTATATTTTGGAAGTGCAGTCAGGGACTTCCTTCTCCCTTTCTCTGTGTCCTTGTTCCAGCTCATCCCTCTAAGAACACCTTGAATAGAATTACCTGTTCTGCTTTTGTCAAGTCCCCCACCAAGTTAGCTACCTGCCTTTTCCATCTGTAGCTTGCCCCCCGACCCCTACCTTTGCAGCTGCATCAGTGGGTCGACCCCCCAATTTTCCAGCTTCTGGTTGGATTTGGCTGACAGACACCAGGCTGGAGTTTGAAAGCGGGGAGCAGAGGGAAGTGGGGGTATTGAATCCTGGCTCCCACAGTGTATGAGTAAATGGCTGTATTTCTCTGCTGAAAGCAATGGAGAGCTAGAGTCCTTGTGGGTCCAGGAACTCCCTTACCCCTACCAGGGCTCTCCGGCTCCCAACAGAGCGCCTTTCCATCCCTTGTTGATCTTCTATACCTGCCCACTCATGTAGACGGTTAACTCTCCCTGACAGACTCGGTTTGGGTTGCCTTGTGTTTCTCGGCTGGACTCTGACAGTGACACACCCTAACGTGTGAAGCTGGAGATAAAAGTGGCATCAGCAGGTTTTTCTCTGCCCCGCTCCTTGCTGTGTGTCCCAGTCCACTGGACCCAAACCAGCAGGATCTGTACCACCTGGAGCTTGGTAAAAAGGCAGATTTCTACCATCTGAAACGGGGTGGCGCCAGCAGCCTGCCTCTCTGCGGTGCTGATGCCCGCAGGGGTTTGGAGAGCCCCGCCCTCTTTCTGGCCCATCCATTCACACAGCCATGTGCATTCATTCGCCCACTGGCTGCACTTGGATCTGGGCGCTGTGCCATCGGGGTGCACCTTGCCCATTCTTTTTTTTTTTTTGAGACAGGAGTCTCGCTCTGTCTCCCAGAGTGCAATGACGCGATCTTGGCTCACTGCAACCTCTGCCTCCCGGGTTCAAGCGATTCTCCTGCCTCAGCCTCCTGAGTAGCTGGGATTACAGACAAGTGCCACCATGCTTGGCTAATTTCGCCATGTTGGCCAGGCTGGTCTTGAACTCCTGACCTCATGATCCACCCACCTCAGCCTCCGAAAATGCTGGGATTACAGGCGTGAGCCACTGCGCCCAGCCTGCCCATCCTCCTTTCTACACAGCAGAGCCATGCACTTTTTACCTCTGCCTCCTGGGAGCTGCAGCGCTGGTTTGTGTGCAGAGTCTGCTTCTGTCACTTCACTTAAAAACAGCAAACCAATTTATTAACCATTTGCTCAGTAGAAGTTTAATGGAGAAATCGTTGTTTAAAACAATCAGTCGGAAAGAACAGCTCTTTTACAAACAAGTTATGGCAGTGGTGAGTCAAAACCCCAGGTTCAATTTCCTGTTCCTTTCACCTGCCCCAAGAAGGGGGAAGAGGCAGGTGAGCAGGAGAGATGGGGCCATTGAAATGGTAGCTAGAGGAATTACAAAAATACACTCTGATGTAGCAACAGGGTTGTGGTGAAACATGCCAGGGGCTGGGGAGGAACAATCAGACGGGGAGGTTCTGGAGGCCACGAAGCCTGCAAGATCTGCAGACAGGCGCTCAGTGCCTTGGGGAAGAAGGAATCCTGATTCCCAGGCGGCAGGTCTGGGGCTGGACACATGCTGTTTGGGGGATCACCTGGACGCCTGGGGAGACAGAAATGATTAAAAAATGGCAAACCTGATGGTTTTTCACACCCTTTTCTATTCCCCCTAGAGATGGAAGCAGTGAAAGGGAGGCAAGGAAAAGCTATCAACCCAAAGAAATCGTTCCTAACGTAGCCCGAGGGGTCCTCAGCTCCTCCACACATCTGCTCCCCCAGACCCGGGTCTACTGGCCGTAGACCGGACTAATAGACTAAAGGGGAGGTCTGTGGGCTGCGACTCGATAGGCACAGCGGCAAGCCGCCTCCTGGGGAACAGTTCTTCCTGGTATTTGGAACCCATGTGAAATAGTGCCCTTGTTTTACAGTTCTTTTGTTTGCAAGTGCTCTTTGAGCTGGAAGGCACTGATACCTGACCATGAATGAATGTGCTCAGTTTCCATTGCCTAGAAGGGTCAAAGCCTGAGGGTAGCAGAAAAGAGGAAGGCAGTATAGGGTCAGAGGAAAGGCAGGCAGACCCCCAAGACCAGCTGTGACAAGTTCTGTCTAGAGGTGGGCCTGCACCCCGACACCTTTCCTTCCTAGGACATCATTACACTTTCTGAATAGGGTTTTTTTGTTTGTTTGTTTGTTTTTGGTTTTTTTTGAGATGGAGTTTCGCTTTTGTCCAGGCTGGAGTGTAACGTGCACTATCTCGGCTCACTGCAACCTCTGCCTCCTGGGTTCAAGCGATTCTTCTGCCTCAGTCTCCCAAGTAGCTGGAACTACAGGCGCCCACCATGACACCCGGCTAAATTTTGTATTTTTAGTAGAGACAGGGTTTCACCATGTTGGCCAGGCTGGTCTCAAACTTCTGACCACAGGTGATCTACCAGCCTCGGCCTCCTAAAGTGTTGGGCTTACAGGCAAGAGCTACCACACCCGGCCCTGAATAGGGTTCTTTATCCCATTCCAGTGTAACATGGCCTCACTTCTTCCCAGCCTTCTCCATGTCGATTAGTATTAGATATCTTAGAAGTCAAGGACAGCATTGGTAACGAGTCCCCCAAGATGGAGACATCTCCATCGTGTAGGGGAGGTTAGGGTGTGTGGATGAAAATAAGGTTGAAGCCAGCTGTTATAGACTCATAAATATCCATATTGGAACTCACCAACTGTGCATGTTGGGGGAAAAGAAACAGAGAGATGGTTGCAGAAGGAGAAAGGAGATTCATCAATAATACCCAGATGTGCTGGTTAATGTTTCCAGTTTCCAACCAGAACTTGACATCTGAGCAGAGCCACAGACAGAAGTTCCTTACCGGCTTTGTTTCAGTGCCTCTCAGTTGGAAGCATAACAGAAGATTAGAAAAACCAATTGCCCAGATACAGGCTCGAATCATTTTTTAAAAAAATAAATGGATTCCTGTTAATGGGCCTGATTTTCAACTGTGTTTAGGTAAAGAACATTGCCATCGTTCAGAATTAGCCGTGAGCTTCAGTGTCCCTGAAGAGCCACTTTAAAGAAGAATGCCTTTAAGATTTGAAAGAATTCAACCCATGCTACTTCTGAATGATTTGCTGTTAGGTGCTGTGCAGATATGTGTTAGAAAGAAATAGGAGGCTTGTGAAGGATCCAAGAGTATGACTTCAAAAGCAGTGCAGGTTAATTTGGGGCCTTTGGAGATGAGTCATCCTGCTAAAATAAACACATCAGCTTTCTCTTCACAACTTAATACATGTGTCCATATTTGGTAGCAGGCCTGTGGTGAACATGCCGGCCTACCTGCAAAGGGGCTGTCTCCATGCTAAAGTGTGGGCACCAAACATTAGCGTATGCACTAATACATCATCAAGGAAGGTTATTAGTGACACCGCTACCTCTGACGGTATGGGACGCAACATAAAACAGCACATGCAGATATTTTTTCTCTTACGCTCGAACTCAGGGAAAAGCCCCACTTGGGTAATGTTCTGGGGTGATGGTGAGGAACTGACTGGTTGTGTTAGGGCAATGATACAGTTTGGAAGTTTGTCCTCTTCCAATTTCATGTTGAGATGTGATCCCCAATGTTGGAGGTGGGCCTAGTGGGCGGTGTTTGGGTCATGGGGGTGGATCCTTCAGGAATGCCTTGGTGCCCACCCCGTGGTAATGAGTTCGTGGGAGAGCTGGTTGTTAAAGAGGCTGGGACCTCCTCTTTTCTCTCTCTTGCCCCCTCTTGCCATGTGGCACGCCAGCTCCCCTTGCCTTCTGCCATGAGTAAAAGCTCCCCGAGGGCCTCACCGGAAGCAGATGCGGGTGCTGTGCTTCTTGTATAGACTGCAGAACGTGAGCCAAATAAACTTTGTTTATAAAGTACCCAGCCTCAGGTATTCCTTCATAGCAATGCAAAATGGATGAATACAGGCAAGTTTCTTAGCTATTTAAGGAGACGTATGAGACTCTGCAGATGATCATATTCCCATATACTAATTAAGGCACATAGCCTTGATGGTTGGGATTTTCCTAAATTTTCAGAAAATTCTACTGTGCTAGGTTGCCAATGCCACTCAAAGTGATGTATTGGTTGATGGCCTAAGGAAAGTTGGGTTTTGAATGACCAGGTAATCAATTAGAGTCTTTGATGTATATTATTAGACATGTGAATTCGTATAAGTTGCCTGTGGGGGTAGGAATAGAGCAGAAGAAAGAGAGAACAAGGAAGAAAGAAGAGAGGAATAAAAGCAAGCAAAAAAAAAAAAAAAAACAAAAAACAAAAATGGCACGCTGGAAAGAATCGAAATGGAGGAAAGAAGATGAACCCCTTTAGTCCATATTCTAGTAGCTACTAGGTCCATTGGGCCAAATTCTCCACGTCTTGCTCAGTAATGATACCATTGACCACAAGGAATCAGTCCCTCTCTGGCAAGGTAGCAGGATGGACAAATGGCTTGTGGAAGGAGGAAGGGCAGAAACCACAACTCCTGATCTTAACAAGACCTCTTTGGCCAGGTAAAATGGGAAACTTTAATGTTTCCACGGAGCCAGGCACCCTGAGACCTGGGGAAAGGAGAGGGGATAGGGAAGCTGTCTTTGAAGATGAAATAACACCATCATAGCTGTGGTAATTGGACTCTGCTAATCGCTAAGAGTAGGTCCTGCTCTCGGTGTTTAGAGACACAATCTCGAGGAAAGGTGAGCTAACTGGTTGCTATGGCAACCGGATGGGCATATTGGTCCACTTAACTGTCCCCATAGTAACTAAGCTCCTGGGGAGTGATAGAGGAATTAGTTATCTTAACATACTACTATTATCCCCATGGTAACCAGTCTCTAGTCAGAAGTGGTCAGCTTCAAGGTGCAATCATAGGAAAATATTTGCTGCCTAGAGAAAGGGTGGGCTGGACTCCTTGAGGGGTGTGTGTGTGTGTGTGTGTGTGTGTGTGTGTGTGTGTGTGTGTTTGGGGATGAATGTGCTTCTAGGCCTGGGAGCAAGGCTAAGACAGTTGGTGTGTGAGGTCTCTCCTTGCCCCCAGCTTATTGGTGCCCAACTCACTCATGGGTTGCAGTGGCCGGTACAGCTGGGAAGAACGCCCCTTCCAGGCTACACATTACCATTCTGGTGCAGGGTGCGCCGGCGCTGGCTGGACTGCATGCTCAGGACCAAGTACTGCCTCATAAACTCACTGAACCGCTTCTGATTGGCCAACTTCCGGGCCGACTTCCGGGCCCCGGTGAAGCCCCCAAATCTCTTCTGCAGCTGCTTCTGCTCCATCTCACCAGCCTCCTCCATGCCAGGCTCGGGCTCCTCCTGCTCCTGGAACAGGCTCCGGACTCGGGGCATTCGCCGCAGATGCTGCATCTCTGAAGCTCTCGGCTGGTAGAGAGCAGCCGCCACATGCTCTGGGGCGGCAGGGCTGAGCTGCCAAGAGCTCCTGGCCATGACCTTGGTGCATGGAGTCCAGAGGGGGCTGGGGAAGACCTTCTCTTCACACTCGAGGATGCACACCTGCAAAGATACGGGTGGGAGGAGGGGAGAAGGAACAAGAACCTCTGTTAATCCAGGGCGAGGGAGGAGATCCGGCCCACTGCACCAGTGCAAGTGCTTCTGAAGCATCTAGTTTATCAAGTAACGTGCAGCAGTTTTACACAGGTTTTTAGGTTCGTAGAATTTCAGAATTGGAAACAAACAGAGAATCATCTGACCCAGCTCCATCATTTTGCAAAGAAACCAGGGCTCAGAGAGGTGAGCGTAACTTACCTCTGGTGTCACAGCATGTTAACATAGGAAGTTAAGACAGGATGAATGCGCCCAACACCACACCCTGTTACATCTTCAGTCGAGTTTTTGGAGCCAAGCACAACTCATGACTGTCACCCATAAAGACTTTTATTTTGTTCTCTCCTCAGGCTTGTGGAAGGTCAGATGGGTTAAAGAAATTGGGGATGTGAAAGTATGTAGTCAAATCTGCAGGTTTATTTTAAGGTCACTGTGTAAAGATCTACCCGGATGTTGTTAATTTTTCATCCCTCGTACAGCAGTCGTCACTATCTGTGTATCATTTATAGCAAATGGGGGTCAAGACCCTGTGGGGTGTAGGCAGACTGTACGTGCGAGGCCGAACTTGTGATCCAGTTCCAGGTTGGAGGAGAGATGCCATCATCAGATGTGAGCCCAGCAGACCCGCCCCGTCCCTGGGAACACTGCTCTGCGTCTCCTGCCAACCCTGACTTCTAGCCACCAGTTGGACCGGCCCCCTCTTGGCTGGTTCTGACCTTGGCCGCCCCCGTCCCCCCTCCCTCCCCCCGCCTCCCACGTTCTTGGTTCTGATTGGGTCTCCTGGAAGCCTCTGCCCCCAGCTTTTCTTCCTATTTGCTGTTTTGGCTTCACCCCTAATTTCAGTCCAGGTTTCTGGCCTTAGCCTGCTGGAAACCCCTGACCTTGCTGCTGTGAGTCAGTTGGCGGAGCCCCTCATCACAGCATGGAGCTCCTGCCTGGCTTCAGGGCACCTTCTGGGGTAGAGGCTGCAACTGTCTGGCCTGTATTCATCTCCCCTTCTCCTTATGCACAGAACACTGTTTTATTCCTAAAGGCAACATATATGTTTCCCAAGCTTCCTTGGAGCGATAAGTAGCTGACGACATAAAAATGGAAGTGTAGGCCGGGCGCAGTGGCACACGCCTGTAATCCCAGCATTTTGGGAGGCTGAGGTGGGTGGATCACGAGGTCAGGAGATCAAGACCATCCTGGCTAACATGGTGAAACCCCATCTCTACTAAAAATACAAAAAATTAGCCAGGCGTGGTGGCGGGCCAGGTGTGGTGGCACACACCTGTAGTCCCAGCTACTCGGGAGGCTGAGGCAGGAGAGTGGCGTGAACCTGGGAGGCGGAGCTTGCAGTGAGCTGAGATTGTGCCACTGCACTCCACTGTGGTGACAGGAGCGAGACTCCATCTCAAAAAAAAAAAAAAAAAAAAAAAAAGGAAGTGTAATCCCAGCACTTTGGGAGGCTGAAGCGGGCGGATCACTTGAGGCCAGGAGTTTGAGACCAGCCTGGTCAACACAGCAAAAACCAATCTCTGCTAAAAATACAAAAATTAGATGGGTGTGGTGGTGGGTGCCTGTAATCCCAGCTACTGGGGAGGCTGAAGCAAAAGAGTTGCTTGAACCTGGGAGGCGGAGGTCGCGGTGAGCTATCACGTCACTGCACTTCAGCCTGGGTGACAGCGTGAGACTCTGCCAAAAAATAAAATAAAATAAAGAAATAAAAGAAAAAGAAAAAAAAAAAAGGAAGTGATCAGGCATCAGGTGGGGTTTTCAAGAAAGTAGGAGGCTGCCTTAAGTGGGAAGAACATCCCGTTTTCCTCTTCCTCCAACTTTCTGCTTGGAATGTGGACATTTGGGCTGACATTGTGTTTGCCATCTAGAAAACATGCAGCGACTCAGAGGATGGGAGTCATGGGCTAGAAGCTGCCGACTGGCAGAGAAAAGAGAGGAGACTGGAGCTGCCACTGCAGCCCTGGGCTGTCCCCTCCTCACTCCTGGTGAGGAACTGAATCTATTTCAGCCACTGTCACTTTAGATGTTTGTTACTAGTGGGTGAATTTCATTCTTATCGGATGCAATTGTCCTTCTGCTTGGCCTCTCGGTCCCTGTCTCTGAGTGGCGCCTCACTCCCCAGTTGACTCAGATTTCAAACTCTGGGCATATCTTTTCCTCCCCTCTCACCGCCCCCATCCTGCCAGTCTACAGTTCTGCCCCTCCTCCCACTCCCTCCACCACCACCTAAGTGCCTGTTAGGTGAAGTGGGCCCCTAACTGATCTCCGCATCTCTGGTCTTTGCCACTGTCATCAATGTGGTACCTCTGGCAGGATACCCTTCCTGAAGAGTAACTAATCATGTCATTACCTTGCCCACAGCTGTCTAATTGTTTATTGTGTCCATAAAACAGCTCCAAACTCTTGAGCAGAGCATTCAAATGCCTCTACCACCTGGTCCAGCCCACCATCTAGGTCTTATTTCCGAGTCTTCATCACATGCCCCTTGAGGCCTATAAGGCTATTCCTAGTGCCTTAAACACCTCAAAGCTCCTCACACCCGTATGCCTTTCTCTCTGTCCCTCGAATGCAATGACCTCATTGAATCCTTCTATCCATTCTTTGGGACCCAGACAAGCTCCAGTGCTGCTCCTCTCTGATACCTTCTAGTTCTCTGGCAAGAATCGCTCTCTCCTGCCTCTGTCTTCCCACAGAACTTTGTATTCCTTTTGTGGAAATTTTAATGCTTTATGTCATTAAATTGCAATACCTTCTAAGGCAGAATATGACAAGTTAGGGACCACATCTTACTCATGTTTGAATCCCTTGGAGGAATCTTCTCCTTCCAGTAAAGACTAGGGTTTCCGTAGAGGTTTGTCGAACTGAGCTGAATTAATCAAGAAGTCACTTTATATTTAGCTAAGAGTATTAAAGAAGGGAATGAAAAGAGGTGAGAAAGAGTCCCTGGAAGAACAGGGGTCGCAGCTAGTTGCCACCAGGACTGGAATGCCCCTAGTGCTTAGCATGCACACTGGTACAGCAGCACCTGTCACCCTGCTGCCACCCTTTGCTTATCTGATTACTCATCTGTCCCATTAGTCCAGGACTCCAGGATTCTTTTATTCTTTTTTTTTTTTTCTTTTGGAGACAGAGCCCACACCTGGTCTAAAGGGTCTCACACCTGGATGTGAGTCCCAATCATCTGCAGAGCTTTTAAAAACAGAATTTTGGCTGGGCGTGATGGCTCATGCCTGTAATCCCAGCACTTTGGGAGGCTGAGGCGGGCGGATCATCTGAGGTTGGGAGTTTGAGACCAGCCAGACCAACATGGAGAGACCCCATCTGTACTAAAAATACAAAAAATTAGCCGGGCATGGTGGCGCATGCCTGTAATCCTGGCTATTCGGGAGGCTGAGGCAGGAGAATCGCTTCAACCTGGGAGGCGGAAGTTGTGGTGAGCCGAGATTGTGCCACTGCACTCCAGCCTGGGCAATAAAAGTGAAACTCTGACTGAGAAAACAAAAAAACAGAACTTCAAGACTCAACTCAATCTCTGAAGAATAGAACCAGGGATTAAAACTTATTTTTACAAAGGAATTAAAAACTTAATTTTACAAAGGTCAGGTAATTCCAATATTTGCCTGGATTTGCAAGTCATGAATATAATTCAATCTTTGCATTTTATGATGCGGTTCAGTAATGTGTCCAAAACAACACGGTTAGATAACAGTATAACCTGAACAAGAACTCAAACATACCTTGTGGCCCGGTCCGAGACATCTACTCAGCTACCTCTGTGTGCTTGCAATATGAATTGTGGCAATCAATGCAAGAAAAAGGATTCTATGAAACCAAGAGCTGAGGTTTGGATGAAAGTATTGCCTGTATTCCAATGGACTGGAGGGGACAGACAGGGAATGGGTCTGACAGGAGTGTTCCTTTCCTTCCATGGTGGGGTTTCTAAGAAGCAACCTGTCCGAGTCCACCTATTAGTCACAGGAGGTGACATTGGCCCCTAGTGATGCTCAAGCCATGGTTTTTCTGAGCATGCCTTTTTCATTTAGCTTTTACTCAGAGATACTTAACACATGGAACCTGGTTGCTGACAGAATGACCTCAGTAGGGAGATGCAGGGAACTACTTTTTCACACCTGCAATGTAACTGATTATAAAAAATTAAGGCAGTCCTCCCTTCCATAGGTAGGGAGGGCTGCCTTAAGAACAATGGAATTGCAAACTTCTGGAGTATTCTATAAGAATTGTTACTGTGCTGGGCACGGTGGCTTCCACCTATAATCCCAGTACTTTAGGAGGCCAAGGAGGGAAGCTCCTTTGAGCCCAGGAGTTTGAGAGCAGCCTGGGCAACATAGGGAGACCTCATCTCTACAAAAATAAAAATGTTAGTGGGGTGTGGTGCATGCCTGCAGTTCCAGCTACTTGGGAGGCCGAGGTGGGAGGATTGCTTGGGCCTGGGAGGTCAAGGCCGCAATGAGCTGAGATTGCTCTACTGCACTCCAGCCTTGGTGACAGAGCGGGACTCTGTTTCAAAGAAAAAAAAATGCTACTGGAATTTGTTAGAATGCAAATTTTTAACCTACAGCATTGGATATTCTGACCCACTAAGTCAAGGTCAGAAGGGTGACCTTGTCTTAAATTGCATTAAGAGATTTAGAGACAAAAAATAAGGCAACCAGTCCCCAAGAAAGAGTGTGGAGAAATTTATTTTAAACTCCCTCAAATTTGGCCTGGTGCAGTGGCTCACACCTGTAATCTCAGCACTTTGGGAGGCTGAGGTGGGGCCCATAAACTTGTATTTTTAGCAACAGCCCAGGTGATTCTGAGGCTGGATGATATCTGGAGAAATCCTGCTTTGAAACTTGCTCTGAGGAGGAAGAAACCATCACAGAACATGGTGGTTAAAGACTCCTACAGAGAAAGAGTCACTTGGGTCTGTACTTAGCCTGCTCCTGAAATACTTGGAAGAAAAGCAGCTAGAATCAATGTGTAGTATATTCTTTCGGATCAGAATCCTGTTGAGTTAGTACTCTACAGGAGTGGATCTCAACTGGGAGTGATTTTGCCTGCCAAGGGTCCATTTGGCAATCTCTGGAGACATTGTTGGTTGTCAGAACTGGGTGTGTGTGTGTGTGTGTGTGTGTGTGTCTGTGTGTTACTGGCACCTAGAGGCCAGGGATGCCAGTAAACATCCTAAAGTGCCCAGGACATCCCCCACAATAAATAATTCCCCAGCAAAAGTGCCCATAGTGGCAAGTTTGAGAAACTCTGCTCTGCAAAGTCAACAGGGATGCAGAGAAGTGTGGCTAGCACTGGGAAAGCCATCAAAGGGTAGAGTGGGGGAGCTGGACCTGACCTTTGAGCATGCTTGGTCCAATCCCTGCAGAATAGGAGCCCCAAACTGCTTGTTGAATTGTTCTGCTCTGTCAGTTTACGGAAACAGGTGGAAGAGTTGTTAAACCTGGAGGTACTTAGATCTTCTGTGAGCCCCTGGGTTTCTAAGCCCAGATGGTAATTAGATTTTGTGTCAGTCAGGGAAAATGAAATTCTGTGATCAAACCAGATGCCACAATCCATACCCAGACTTGATGCACTGTTAGATAAATTAGATACTAACAAAATCATCTCAACTCTTGATTTAGGAGAGGGTTTTGGGCAAATAGGAGGAAGGCAAATTCACAACAGCATTTGTAGCACCAGATGGGCATAGGAACTTAATTCCCGACCCTCTGGTGTGGGAAACTCACCAGCCTTTTTCCAGAGATGGGTTAATGGCTTATTAAGTGAGCTGGACACGTGTTGGCAGCCCACGCTGATGGCATTACTATATTAAGCCAGAATGCATATGGGCATCTGGAGTCTCATATGGCTGCCAAATTGATCCATAAAGCTGGGCTTATGGGGAAAGTGAGCAAATGGCCATTTGGGTGTCTGGGCTCAAAGATTAGGGTACAAAGTGGGAAACAGGCACATGAACCCATTGGGGATAAAAGGAGCAGCTCACAAAGGCGGTCAAGTTTCTGCCACTAAAGAGTCACACCACTTCTGACCAAGAGACATTTGGGAGCTATTTGCTTTCTGAGGTCCTGTTAGAATATCTGAGGACAAATACAGAAGATGAACAGCACAGAAGACAAACATATAAGGAACTCCTACTGCAAGTCACCTCATTAGAATTTTCATTTCATGAAGATAGAAAGAACTACCAAAAGGTAGTTTGTTTAGAAATAGATTTTAGGGAATTTTATTGATTGAGACAGAATCTCACTTTGTCCCCCAGGCTGGAGTGCAGTAGCATGATCTCAGCTCACTGCAACCTCTGCCTCCCGGATTTAAGTGATTCTTCTGCCTCAGCCTCCTGAGTAGCTGGTATTACAGGCATGCACCAACATGCCCAGCTAATTTTTGTATTTTTAGTAGAGACAGCTTTTCGCCTTTTTGGCCAGACTGATCTTGAACTCCTGGCCTCAAGTGATCCACCTGCCTCAGCCTCCCAAAATGCTGGGATTACAGGTATGAGTCACTGCACCAGGCCAAATTTTAGGGAGTTTAAAATAAATTTCCCCACACTCTTTCTTGGGGACTGGTTGCCTTAGTTTTTGTCTCCAAAACAACTCAGTGAATCCAGTTTTTTCTCCTTGAGCTGATGAAGTAAGTACCATTCGCAATTAGGTTAAAGGCCAGGACGTTGCAGTGGGTTTGGGTGTGAGTCATTTACCAACCAAAATTATAGTCTAACAACAAGCAGCCATACTTCAATAGTCTACTAGGAGCAGAAATAAAAAGTTTCTTGATGAAGCCGAGGATCCAGAGGACCCTGGGAAGAGCTTGGTGGAGGGACTGGGGAAGGGACCCTTGCTGAAACATGAGTCCCCCTGTCATTCATGGGAAGGACATAGCCAAGGCCTGCCAGATTTGGAAATGGGATTTGAGTGCCTACTTTCTAGGCATTTTGTTAAACTTAAACATAGGTTAAAAGTGAATACAAACTAGAAACAAAAACAAGCAGGCAGCCGCATCCTCCGGGGGGTTAGCAAGCACTGTGAAGGTGTTAGTCCTCCATTGTGAGGCTTTTACGGTCCATTTTCTGACTTGTTTCAAAGAAGTAAAGCTGAGAATGTTGTCTAGACCCCAGATATTTAAGATGCTATGGAGAGATGCAGACATGCTCCAAATTTTTGACTCTCTGAAAGATGCAAACGTAAAACCTTTACAGAGACTGCAGCAGATGTGCCTATTAGAAGACTAATGGTCTTAGAATCTTCCAGTTTCCGCGGGATGGGATGTGTTTATTGAGCTATGCTATGTGCCACACACTGTGCTGCATGCTGGGATACCCAGCTCCATCAGTAAAGAAAGCTCACTCCATATGGGGAGAGAGAGTCCTGCAGATATGACTAACAATCAGAACACGAAGAAGGAGGGCCCACTCCACTGGGGTGGGCGGAGAATCAGTGCAGTGTTCTCTTACCAGGGGACACTTAATCTGGGATTTGAAGTGCGAGTGGGATTTATGGATGGGGGAGGAGGCGAGGCAGGCACGATGGCAGGGCAGGAAGAGAAGGCAGGATTTCTGGGAACTATGGAAAGTGATTGGGTCTGGAGCCCAGGAGAGAGGAGGTCAGGAGCGTGCCTCTAGGAGTTTTCTGCAGCCTAGGAGGAGCAGAAGGCCTGGGGTGTATGGGTGGGTTCTCAGAGAGAGGTGAAAAGCAGAGAATCTTGGTGATCCTTTATATGTAGGGGGTGGGGAGAGGACAAGGAACCAACACAGTAGCCAGAGTGGGGAAGAGAATGAGGCACATGGACGGAGAGAGGGCTGGGGTTCCTGAAAGAGGGAATCGTCAGCAGGGTAGGAGCTCAGAGAGAAACACGGTGGATGAATAAGAGGAGACATTTACTGTAACCATGTAACTGAGGGTCAACTGTAGACTATATTCATGGAAAGTAATACTATTAATAACATGGGAAATTGATCCTGGTATAATATAGTAAGTGAATTGGTTAACTGGAGATGCCCTGGGTAGTTATGACTGGTTGGAAAATTGGCTTGAAAACCACTGAGCCCAAGAGCTTGGTGCTTTGGGTCTGCTGGATTTTTATCTCCTCCTCTGTTATCTGGAGGTGGGAGACACTAGGCTGTGTTAGCCCCCCTGCAAATACTCGGTTCTACATTTGTACGTTTGCCTTAAGGAACTGTGGTGCTTCCGGTTGTTTTGAAAGGTTAAGGAGTTTAAAAGATAGCATCTTTTGAAGGAAGTTATTTGACTATAAAGTAAAAAACAATTGAGCTATACTGGATTTAATAGGAGAGGAGTAACTATGTGGACTGAAATGTAGATAGTTGACAAAGCAGTTTATTTAATGAAGAAAAATTTAATACTGGATTTGCACCTGAAATTGGAAATTTAAAATATAAGAGAGCATTTTGGTACTAAGGGGTTCACTGTTGAATTATCTGCAATATCTAAAATAAAAGGCACATACATGTTCAATCGTTAGACAAATTACATGGTCCTTCTGTATCCACAGGGGATTGGTTTCAGGATACTAAATCTACAGATGCTCAAGTCCCTTATATAAAATGGCTATGCGGCCGGGCATGGTGGCTCATGCCTGTAATCCCAGCACTTTGGGAGGACGAGGTAGGTGGATCACTTGAGGTCAGGAGTTCAAGACCAGCCTGGCCAACATGGTGAAACCTATCTCTACTAAAAATACAAAAAATAGTGGGGCGTGGTGGTGGGTGCCTATAATCCCAGCTACTTGGGAGGCTGAGGCAGAAGAATTGCTTGAACCTGTGAGGTGGAGCTTGCAGTGAGCTGAGATCGTGCCACTGCGCTCCAGCCTGGGTGACAGAGTGAGACTGTCTCAAAAAATAAAAATAAAAATGAAAAATAAATAAAATGGCTATACACATCCTCCTGTATACTTTAAATCATCTCTGGATTACTTATATTACTTAATGTAATGTAAATGCTGTGTAAATAGTTGTTATGCTGTATTGCTTTATTTGTATTTTTTTATTGATGTATTATTATTTTTTATTTTTTTCTGAATATTTTCTATCCATGGTTAGTTGAATCCTTGAACGTGAAACCTGTAGATACCGAAGGCCAACTGTAGACTATATTCATGGAAAGAAATAATAACATGGGAAATTTATTCTGGTATAATATAATAAGTGGAAAAAAGTAGGATTGTTTCTCTGACTGGTGTAATTAAGGGTGATTTAAATTTCTCTTTTTTTATACTTTTCTGAATTTGCCACACTCTCTGAAATAAGTAACGTTATTTTAATCCTGGGAACGACCTGGCATCACAGGCAGGGCTCTTCCTGCAGGTGGTATGGTGGAAAGATCGCAAGGTTCTGGGTTGGAAGAGCAGCTCCTGTCTGCATCTGTTTCCTACGGGCCATGTGATGCTGCGCAAGTCCTGTGAGCTGTGGGAGAGGCCTTGGCTTCTCACTCAGAGTCTGCTCCGGAGTAGGGAGGGAGGAGGTAGTCAGGGAGGAGGACAGCCTCTCTGCCTTGCCTTGGGGACCTACCTCCAGGTTGAAGCTGTCCAGGGCTGGGCGGAGCTTCTCCTGGCATGTGAGACAGTCCCTCTGACAACTGCTGAACACACTGGAGAAGAGGCTGAGCAGCAGCAGGTCACAAACCAGGACTTTCATGGTGCAGGAGCAGGAAGCAGGTGCTGGAATATACAGGAAGCATGGCAGTGAGTACAGCCATTCTCGGGGGGCTGCTCAGGGCCAGAGACCCTAACCCAGAGGATGCAGGAAAGACACTCTTCTGCTCTCTCTGGCAGGACGGCACTAGGGGCCTGAGATTCACTTTCCAGGGGTGTAAATTGTCAAGGCCATAGGCAACCCGGCCCGATCACCTAGACTCAGTGTTCATGCACAGGCTGACTAGTGTCTGGGTTCTTGGGTTGGTCCTGGGTGTCAGGACACCCCTGTGATTCCTGTCACCTGCCTGGCCTTGACACCACACAGGCACTTTTGGGAGCAGCTGTGTGGTGGCAGAGACAGCTTTCTTGGAAGCTGAAGGCATCGCTTTGCAGCTTACCAGCATGTGACATTAAATCAACCTCTTTGAGCCTCAGTTTTCATAGCCCATAAAAGGGGCACAGTGGCACCTGCCTTATCACAGGCCTATTGTGAAGATGAAATGAGATCTGTAAGGGGAGTTTTGCAAAGTGCTGTGCAAAAGTAAGATGAGTAAAATACGAGATTTATTAATGACTCAGGTGCTTCCCTTCATCCGCCTGACCTTCCCTGCTGCAGCCAGGAATGCCCCCAACCCCCATACCCTGAAATCTCTCTTCCAGGTACTTGCCTCTTATCCCTGCTAGATGTGAGCTAGTGCTATGGTCTATCTCTGTCTCCCTAAAATTCCTATGTTGAAATCCTAACCTCCAAGGTGATAGTATTAAGAGATGGGATCTTTGGGCCAGCCACAGTGGCTCACGCTTGTAATCCCAGAACTTTGGGAGGCCAGGGCAGGTGGATCACTAGAGGTCAGAAGTTCAAGGCCAGCCTGGCCAACATCATGGCAAAACCCTGTCTTTACTAAAAATACAAACATATATGCATATATATCCAGGTGTGGTGGTACACACCTGTAATCCTAGCTACTTGGGAGGCTGAGGTGAGAGGATTGCTTGAACCCGGGAGGTGGAGGTTGCAGTGAGCCGAGATCGTGCCTTTGCATGCCTACCTGGTTGACAGAGCAAGACTCTGTCTCAAAAAAAAAAAAAAAAAAAAAAAAAAAAAGAGAGAGAGAGAGAGAGAGAGAGATGGAACCTTTGGGAGGTGATGAGATCATAAGACTAGAGCCCATATGAATGGCATTAGTGCCCTTATAAAAGAGGCCCCAGCGAGCTAGCTAGTCCCGTCCACCACTTGAGGACACAGCAAGAAGGCAACAACTAAGAACCAGGAAATAGACCCTCACCAGACACTGAATCTGCAGACATCTTGATCTCAAACTTCCCAGCCTCCAGTACTGTGAAAAAGAAGTTTCTGTTATTGGCAGGGCATGGTGGCTCATGCCTGTAATCCCAGCACTCTGGGAGGCCGAGGCAGGTGGTTCACTAGAGGTCAGGAGTTCGATACCAGCCTGGCCAACATGGAGAAACCCCATCTCTACTAAAAATACAAAAATTAGCCAGAAATTGCTTGAACCCAGGAGGCGGAGGTTGCAGTGGGCCAAGATCACGCCACTGCACTCCAGCCTGGGTGGCAGAGCAAGACTCCATCTCAAAAAAAAAAAAAAAAAAAAAACAGTAATTTCTGTTGTTTATAAGCCACCCAATCTATGCTCTTTTGTTACAGTCACCTGGACAGACTAAGACAGTTGGCTTTCCGAGCACAGGCATTCCAGGTCAAGCACAGGTCCTGGCATGTGGAACTCGCTATTTAAAATTGAACAAAGAAACTATTCTAAGATAGTAGTAGCTCCAAGGATTGGTCAATTGGATCAGTGGTTTGCAATCTTATGTAGGATTTCCTGAAAGGTGTGCAGTTTTCACTGTTTCTCCTTGAGACTTATCTTTTGATCAAGCCTTCTGAATCTGAAAGATGCTTTCCTGGACTGTATCATTTTGGGTCCCTGTAAAACCATCTTTAGGTGTAGGATTAAATGGAAAGGGAACAAAGAACTTTCTAGAAATGTAAATGTTCTTGATTGAAGTCGCAGGAGTGTATCCATTTGCCAAAACCCATTGAGTTGCAGATTTATATTCTGTGCATTTCACTGTATGCAGTTCCCTTAATGAAGAGTTCAGTGCAGAAAGCCAAAAATGACTGCCTTTATTGCTCTTTCTTCAGTTGATATTGAGGAACTGTAGAAGGTCTTGCTACTCCAATGCACCCTGCAGACCAGCTGGAATCTTGTTAGAAATGCAGATTCTTGGGCCTCACCCCAGAACCACTGAATCAGGATCTGCGTGTCTTTTTGTTTTTGTTTTGAGACAGTCTTGCTCTGTCACCCAGGCTACACAATCTCAGCTCACTGCAACCACCACCTCCCCAGTTCAAGAGGTTCTCGTGCCACAGCCTCCTGAGTAGCTGGGATTACAGGCACATGCCACAATGCCTGACTAATTTTTGTATTTTTAGTGGAGATGGGGTTTCACCATGTTGGCCAGGCTGGTCTCGAGCTCCTGACCTCGTGATCTGCCCGCCTCGGCCTCCCAAAGTGCTAGGATTACAGGCACGCACTACCAGGTCCCACTGATTTTTTGGAAGGATCCGCATTTTTAGCAAGATTCCCAGGTGACTTATATCCATGCCAAAGTTTGGGAAGTGCTTGTATGAAAAGGATGTGAACAAAGGAGGGACCTGCAACTGAGCCCACCCCAGTTCTTCTTCTTGTGCATCATCAAAGCATTTCATACCCAGAGGATGACGGTAAGTATGGGATGCTCAATAAGTGTTTGTTAAATCAATGAGTTGAATTTTTGTTTGTTTGAGATGGTCTCGCTCTGTTGTCCAGGCTGGTGTGCAGTGGTGCAATCACGGCTTACTGCAGGCTTGAACTCCTGGCCTCAAGTGTTCCTCCCACCTTAGCCTCCCAAAGTGTTGGGATTACAGGCATAAGTCACTGCACCTGACCAATTAATTCACATTTGAGATGGGTTTTGAAACAAATAATGAACACAGTGCCTATATAAATGACTATCGCAAATGCATTTGAGATGAATTTTTCTTCTTTATCCCAAGGACCAGGGCTTTAGTTGAGATTTATTGCCTGGGTTATTGTAATAGCCTCCTAATTAGTCCACCTAATGTTCTGGCTTCTCCCCAAGCCATCTTCAATCTGATGATGTCACCATTTATTTGAACTAATTTTATAACCTCATTGCTGTCAGGAGGAGCTCCAAGGACTTAGCACTGACCGATTCTTGCCTCATCTCCTAGCACCTAACCTCGCATAGCCTCTAGTCTCAGCCAATCATGTATAGCTCCAAACTGTATCAGGCTCTTCATGTTTTTTTTTCTGAGACAGAGTCTTACTCTGTCACCCAGGCTGGAGTGCACTGGTGCTATCTCGGCTAACTGCAACCTCTGCCTCCTAAGTTCAAGTGATTCTCATGCCTCAGCCTCCTGAGTAGCAGGATTACAGGTGCCCACCACCATATCCGGCTAATTTTTGTGTTTTTAGTAGAGACGGGGCTTCACCATGTTGGCCAGTCTGGTCTTGAACTCCTTACCTCAAGTGATCTGCCTGCCTTGGCCTCCCAAAGTGCTGGGGTTGCAGACATGAGCCACTGTGCCTGGCTTCTTAATGTCTTTTTACCTTGGCACTTGCTCTTCCCTCTGCCCAGAATATCCTTCTCCAACTCATCCTTCACACACACCTCTAGCATCATCCCTTCTGGGAAGCCATGTCCACCCCATGGTCTGAGTTAGATCAGTCTCCTCTGCTGCCCTGGCATCTGGAAGAGCACATCATAGTGGGAGGCCAGCGAGCCTCAGGGGCTCCATCCATCAACACCGGCACAACAGACGCACGCTGCAGAGTCGCAGTGATGTGTGCTTTCTCATCTGCTAATGACTACAGACTGCCTGCTTCCCACCGCAGCTCTGCAGCTTGCTAGCTGTATTTGACCTCTCATTTCCTCATCTGCACAAATGGGATGAAATTAGTACCTGTCTCAGAGGATGATTAGTGGGTTAATGTTTGTAAGCAATTAAAATAGCACTGACAGGCAATAAGCATATATACGAGAAGGAAAGAACCCGGCATGCAGCGTTCACTCTAACACTCTTTTTTTTGTTTTTTTTGAGACGGTGTTTCACTCAGTTGCCCAGGCTGGAGTGCAGTGGCACAACCTTGGCTCACCGCAACCTCCACCTCCCAGGTTCAAGCAATTGTCTTGCTTCAGCCTCATGAGTAGCTGGGACTACAGGAGTGCATCACCACGCCTAGCTAATTTGTGTAACATTAGTAGAGGTGGGGGGGGTTCACCATGTTGGCCAAGCTGGTCTCGAACTCCTGACCTCAGGTGATCCACCCGCTTCGGCCTCCCAAAGTGCTGGGATTACAGAAATGCGCCACCTTGCCTAGCCTTACGTTTCTCATTCTACGAAATTTCCGTCTTTCTAGATATTTTTGTAGTGTTCCAAACAGCGTGGTTGTGCCCTCTGCAACCACATGGTGGCAGTGGCTATACGTCGCAGAAGAAATGGAAGGGAGGAGAAAAGGAGCCGTTTCCTTTCCTTCCTAATATGAGGTTGTAATACAGAATGTGTGCATCGGCTGAGCTGACAAGCTGTGACAGATGTTAGCGAAATGCTCTCTGGCTGAGGTTTTTTGTGAACTTCATTAACCAGGGCAATTTGCACATTCAGGAAATGTTGGCTGGTTTGACTGATGTTTGCCATCTCAAATTCTGGGTAAATGGGATTTAGAGGCGAGGTGTAAAAGGTAGATGAGCTTCTGGGACACGTAGTGCATGCTCCATTTGCAGGTGAAATGTGGGCCCCTGCACCTTGGCACTTGGGGAGACCTTGTTGAGTGTCCTTGGCTCTAGCCAAGCCCTCCCTGTGGGTCAGAGGCACATGTACCTTCCGGACTCCAACCTCCCAGCCCTTCTCTGTCTCCCCTCAGTTTTAACAATTGACTCCACTGATTATTCGAGGAGTCATCCACACTCAACGCTATCCATTGCCCCCTGCAATTCACAGA